CTTTCCCTTGGTGGAAAAAGCAGGTGGAAGGTAGTGGAAAGAGACTTGCACTCGAATCCTGCCCACCAGTACACCTGCTGTTTCTGAGCTATGGTGGCCCCGGCTGTCATGTGGTCACTAAGACTGGAAGGGAGGGAGAAGCACCTTCCTGCTTCTGCCTTGATATGATCCAGCTTGACGTGACCACAGCCATCTTGGGTGTAACTGCCTACTGCCAGCCAGGTAGCGCTTGGACCCATCCCCAACCCTGTAGGATAAATGAAGTTATGAGGATAGCACACTGTGTGCTGCTGGCTGCTGACACCCGGACTGTTTCTTAACTGATCAGGAATCGAACTCAGGACCTTGCACTTGCCAGGCAGGCGCTGTACCACTGAGCTATATCCCCGGCCCTCTTAACTGACATCTAACCTGCTATGTGTTAATATTTGAGAAAAGCCAGGTACTTTCCAGTTGGCTGCAGCCCAACTTGGTCTAGCTTAGCATACAAACGCCTTCTTCCTGTTTTGGGGCACAGCGGTCCTCCTGTCTTGCTGCCAAGCACACTTCTTTTTAAATTCTGATCCTGGAAATTGAACCCAGAGCCTTTGCAGTGAGCAGCACCCTCAGCCCTTTTGTTTTTTGTTTTGAGACAAGATTTTGTTAAATCACTAAGTTGCCCAAACTAGACCCCAACTTCAATCCACCTGCCTCAGCCTCCCGTAGGAGGTGTGGGCCATCACACCTGGCTGCCAGGCCCTCTTCTGGCTGAGTTGTACTCTGTGGGGTCCTGGATCCGTCTGCCTGTCTCTGGTCTCTCAGCGCCTTCCCCCTTGGGCGACCAGTTCCCTCTCACACACTGGTTTTTCCAGATCATCCCAGCTCTCAGCAGGTTCCAGGCCCCTGCCTCTGGCACCATCAGAACACGCATGACCGGAAAGACCACAGGGAGATGCAGAGGATCGGCTCAGTGAATTCCAACAGAGGCAACACTGAATGCAGCTGTGGTTCTCAGAGAGGAACTGTGGGTGGCCTCAGCCCCTAGGGAGAGAGGGGAGCCACCAAGACAAGGGCAGCGGATTTGCTGGGAGTAGAAGACCCCAGTCCCCTCCACCACCCCAGGCAGCAGGAGTAAGGTGGGACCGGGAGGGGAAGCCCGGAAACACACGGGATGTCCAACCTGCGGAGTCACCTGTGCGTGAGCCCTCGCCCGTGTCCTCCCTGTTGGCATGGGGTCCCAGCAGCTTCCCCCACACCTGGCTCTGCCACTGTGGGGCTCCTCCTGCTCTGATACACCCCACTGGTTTGCCCAACTTGCTATCTTTTTTTTGGCATTTGAGATCTTTTGCATGTGGGGTGGGGGCAGGGTACATCCCATGCTCTTGGACCCCTGTCCCAGAAGGAAGAGGAAAGGGGTTATGGTTTTATCCTTTTGTGGGCTCTGCTGGACGAGGGCTTTGTGGGGATACTCCCTGGATCATCCCTCAAAAGAGCTGGGGCCCGAGTGCCCTGGTCGTGGCGGGGTTCCAGCTCTGCCCTCTAGCTCTTTGGCCTTGGTAAGGCAGGGACTCTCTTGTGACCTCAGCTTCCCTCTTCGTCTCCTGGGACAGAAAGAAACGCTGTGATGCAGTGACAGTGCCACGCACGGGCAGGGCAGGCCTGCCGGAGAGCACAGTGGAAACGCCGAGTCCCCCGGGTGAATGTTTGGGGCTGCAGGGCCTGGCATGGAGGAGGCAAGGCCCAGGGAGCGCTGGGGTGGACCGCGCATCTGGGGAAGGGTTGAAACCTGCCACATCCGGGTGACACGTGCCCCCCCGCCCGAGCAATGGCTCTCAGGTTGTCTGTGCCCTGGCGTCTGAAACATGCTCTGGAAAGGACACAATACAGATGGCAGTGGTGAGTGCCATGGCACATGCTTCTGACCCCAGGCACTTGGGCACGGGGCTGTGGAGCCCTGAGGCTGGGGGGTCGCAAGTTGAAGGCTATTCTGGGCAACATAGTGAGACCTTGACTCAAAAGCGAGCAAGCAAGCAAACAGCCTCAACAAGGGTGCCCGAGCCTTGAGGCCGCACTGCACCTCAGCGCCTGGGAAGCACCTTCCACACTGTTCACCTGTTTGGTTCTCCCCACAGCAGGCAGAGGGCCAGATCCTGACGAGCCTCGCTGGAGGCCCGCGCCGCTGTGCTCCTCCAGCTCCGCATGACCCTGTGTGAGGTTCGGATTCTCACCTCCAGCGTGGGTAGTGACAGGCTGTTGTGAGGGCTGAATGGGGGAAGGTCACGGAGCGCCAGCGTGGAGCGACTGCTTAATGGATTGTGACTTGCCTTTCCTCCCCAGCAGTGTGGGGGACGGAGCCCAGGGCTTTGTGCCGAGCTACATCTTCAGCCCTTTTAAAAAAAATCTTTAATTTTGAGACAGGATCTTGCTAAGTTGCTAAACTGCCCAGGCGGGGGCTCAAACTTCACATCCTCCTGCCTCAGCCTCCCAGAGTGCTGTGATGACAGCTAAGTGCCACCCCACCTGACTAATGGATGATAATTTAAGCGAAACAAAACCCATCTGAGGCAGGGTGCTTGGGTTTTAGAGTTGGTCCAAGGTCACCTGACTGATGGGGCGGGCAGATTTGGGTCTCCAGGTGTTTCGGTGGCGGAGCGCACAAGCCCCAGGGCCCACAGAGCTGCCCTCCTCTCAGGCTGCTCCTGGGCCACGTGACACTGTGTCCTCCTCGGCCTCATGACATTGTGCAAGTCACTGAGCCTTGGGTTTTCCTTATCTATACGATAGTGTTATTTCTCTTCAATGTCAGCCTTTGCACCTCCTGCCTCTGGACTTTTTAGGGTTGGGGTAAAAGCAGAAGCTATTTGGAAACAACCCTCTTCCTGTCCGGAGTGAGAACCTGAGCTCTGAGAGGCTAAGCCGTGCACCAGGTGTGGAGGGAGGCTGGGCAGGAGGAGGGCGGCTGTCACCTGAAGCCGGGGAGAGATTGTCCCTAATCTGAAGGACACAGGCTGTGGGCCCCTTGAGTGGTGGGGCCCTGGCTCTGCTCCCTGGGGAGGTGGGGGACCTCGGGGTGTCACTGGCGGCACACCCTGAAGGTCAAAGCTCAGTGGTTTCAAGTCTTGGTGAAGAATCCGGGCCTGCAGTGGGCGGGGGCAGCGGAGAAGGCTGGAGGTGCGGGGATCGGCGCCTCGGGATGCTGCGGTCCTTGTAGCAGGAGCCAGAGTGTGGGGAAGGCCAGGAGCTCCCTGCCCTTAGGCTCCATAGGCGACCCCAAGGGTCAGCGCTTAAGTGAGGGAGAGGGGCAGGGAAACACCATCCCGAGACTCAATTTCCCGCCAGCCCCGCAGGAGGAGGGCGGAGTCCTCCTGCTGGACTCTGTGGGATAGAGAGAAGGCTGTGTGTGCAGTGGAGTGCGTGTAGTCACAGGTTCAGGAGGAGGAGGTGGGCGAGGAGAGGGTGGTGCCGAGGGCCTCTGCTTTGGCCGAGGGTGAAGGGCGCCTCACTGCTATGGATGGAGGGTGGGTCCAGGGCAGCTCGGGGGCCACCCAGGGAGCCACGAAGTGATTACAGAACGGGGGGCGGGGCCTCTGCCTCAGTCCCCGCCTCCGGGCCCTCAAGGTACCTGTGTTTACCACCCATTCTAGGGAAGAATAGCCAGTGCCTCAGTTTACCACCATCTCTAACCCACAGCCAGGGCAGAGGGGGCGAGGGTCAGAATCTCCACCACAGCCATTCACTGAGCTGGCACAGGTGCGGCCCCGCCAACATCACCTGACTGAGCCCCACGCTGGGCCTGAGAGATATTCGAGGCCTGCGTCGCTCAGAAGGGGAAACTAAGCCGTGCAAAGGGCAGTGATTGGTTGGAGGCCAGAGCTACCTTTGGCAGAGTCAGGATTCACCCCAGCCACTGACCCTGAAGCCCACCTGTCCACACCACTCATCCACAACATCGGAGCCCTGGGCTCCTGGGTCTGTGTATCTCTCAATCTCCTTGGCTGCCACATGCAGGCAAACTGTACCTCTCTGTGCCTCGATTTCCGCATCTATAATACAAAGCACTGAGCTGGGCATGGTGGCGCACGCCTGTAATCCCAGCACTCGGGAGGCTGAGGCAGGAGGGTCGCCACAAGTTTGAGGCTACATAATGAGTTCATGGCCAACCTGGGCTACATAGTGAGAACTTGTCTCAAAAAACAGAAATAAAAAACCAAAAACGTCGGGCGTGGTGGCGCACGCCTATAATCCCAGCACCCGGGAGGCTGAGGCAGGAGGATCGTTGTGAGTTCGAAAACAGCCTGGGCTACAAAGTGAGCTCAAGGCCAGTCTGAACTGCATAGCGAGACCCTGTCTCAAAAATATAAAACAAAAACAAAAACAAAAACAAAACAAAGCACTGGACTCACCAGAGATCGCCAGGACCTGGCTCAGCTCCAGCCTTTGGGGGTCCTTCTCTGGCCCACTCTCTCCTGTTGAAGCCTGCACCTGGGGTGCAGGAGGGCTTGGATGTTACAGACTGGAGCAACAGTGCTGCCAGTGGCACTTCAGGGCAGTCACAGTCCCTCTCTGTAAAGGACTGTGCGGATTGAAACTAAACCACAGGATGCCCTCAGAGCACACAGTTTCACTGTGTGCATTTCTGATTTTTATCAGTGTGATGAGATAAAATCCCAGTCCTGACTCTTGGTCCTGTCTAGGTAGGGCGCCCCCAGCCCCAGACAGCCTGTGACCCTTGCTCCCAAACCTCAGGTGTCTTGATGTGACACCTGTCCCCTGCCCAGCCAGGAAGGCCTACTCAGTTTCTTTGTGTTTTCTGAGACAAGGTCTTGCTATATAGTCCAGGCTGGCCTTGATCTCAAGATCCTCCTGCCTCAGCCTCCCAAGTGCCAGGATTACAGGTGTGTGCCACCATACCTGGCTCCACTCAAATTTTTAAAGCCTTGCAGAGAAAGGAAAAGGTAAGAACACAAGTTTTCTGAAACGAGGAAAAATCCTAAAATAAAACAACAAGAAAAGCTACTCACGGTTGCCAGTGGCTGAACGGTGGGGTCTCCTCTCCACGGTTCTGAGCCCAGGTAAGAGCCGGCCCTGGTCCCACGCGGAGCTCCCGCTGAGCCGCTGCCCTCGGCCAGGTTTCTCTTGCTTTTGTACTTTCTCACAGATGAGTGAGTGTGAGCAGCCCTGGCCTTCCGTCCTCTTACCACTTCCCCTCTGGGCCCCCGTGCCACTCGGTTCTTGCCCTGCAGTTAATTACGTTCTTCCTCACCGGGGTGGCACATGGGTCTAGGCCCCCAGTCAAGGAATTTGGGTTCTAATCTAACCCAGATGGCCGGGCATGGTGGTGCACACCTGTAATCCCTGCACTCGGGAGGCTGAGGCAGGAGGATCTTGCGAGTTTGAGACCAGCCTGGGCTACAAAGTGAGCTCAAGGCTAGCCTAAACTGCATAGTGAGACCCTGTCTCAAAAAGACAAAAAAAAAAAAAAGACATAACCTAGATGTTAAGACGTTGAGCAACTCGCTTAAATTCCCTAACGCGGGGCTGGGGATATAGCTCAGCGGCATAAGCGCCTGCCTGGCAAGCGGTAGGTCCTGAGTTCGATTCCCGGTACCTTAAAAAAAAAAATTCCCTAACGCTTTGCCTGTTCACCTGCAGCATGGGGGCCGGGCACCAGTTTACATGGAAAGTAACTCCTTCCACTCTTGCGCCTCCTTTCGCCAGAGCTCTGAAATACCACTGCCTATGGTGCCAAGTGGACACCGGAAATGAGCTACGGGTGCTGCTGTGGGACAATACGGGGCAGCGGGGACTGTGCGTGCCAAAGGGGCCCGGTGACGCTCAGCCGCAGCGAAGCCTTCTCCCTCGAAAGTGCAGGCCCGACTGCCAGATGTTGCAAGGTTCCGGCAGATGTACTAAGTGTTCCAAGAGACGCTAAAAATGCAGCGTGACAGATTCGATTTTAGAATGGAAGGCACATGTGCTTAGTGCAACCTCAGTAGCAAAAAACAGAAACAAAAGACTGTCACACAAAACACCTTCTCAGCTTCTGTTTGTTAGAACTGTGTCCCTTAATTCCCGCTCTTGGGAATTACTCTGGCATTGCATCTCATAGGGGCCTAAGTACTTTCATACGTATTATTGGGTAAAATGTTTCCTGAGAATCTTTCTTCTGTGTCCTAAGGACACAAAGATGAGTAGGATAAGGTTTTTGCTCTCCTGGCCCCTGGCCTGTGATCACCATATCAGATTTTCTTACTAAGCACTCACCGCACCCCGGACCCTGAGGGATGGCTCAGGGCCTGCGCTTCTCCAGGAGGGAGATTTTGCCCCAAGATAGACCTGCCAGATTCAGCAAGTTAAATACCAGATAGTCACGTTTGACACAAACCTATACAAAAGTTATTTGGGGCCAAGCATGGTGGCACATGCCTATAATCCTAGCACAGGGAAGCTGAGGCAGGAGGATCTCCATGAGTTCAAGGCCAGCCTAGGCTACATAGTGAGTTCAAGGCCAGCCTGAACTACACAGCGAGACCCTGTCTCAAAAAAAACCAGAAATAAAATAAAATAAAATATGAGTGCTGGCTTTGGCGCACATAAACTAATAAAAGTTATTTGGGATTGGGTTGTAGCTCAGTGTAGAGTGCTTGTACAGGCCCTGGGGTCTATCTCCATACCACTGAAAAAAGGTTATTTGTTATTTATCTGAAAGTGAAACTTAACCAAGTGGTCTATGCTTTATCTGGCCCGCTGCTCCGGGGGACATTTGGTTCAGGACTCATTTTTTGGGTTGTTGGCAGGGAACTCCACTGACATCTAGTGGGTAGAGGCTGAGAATGTTGGTCAGTCTACACTGCAAGGGATACTGGGCAGCTCAAATCATTAACCAGCTGAGGTTGGCAGACCCTGCTGTAGGTGGAGCCTGGCCCCCATTGGTGCAAACCCCATCCACCGAGGTTAGGGTTGGAGGTTACCTTTGGTAATGAGACCCTTTGGGAGGCGCCGGGTGACGGGGATGGCCTCAGCCAAGAGCAAGGAATTGGCAGTGAGGAATGGGACACAGCGCTGTGTCAAGAGAGGACAAAGAACAGGGGGCAGGCAAGGGGGCCCTGCAGCCTCCGCCCCACTTTTGTAGACCCCGTGGAAGCCGAGGGATTGGAGACACCAGAGTGAGCGCTGGCCTTGGGGAAGCCCTGCTGGCCTTGGGGAAGCCCTGCTGTGGGGAACCAGGCGGAGGCTGTCAGTTTTCCCAGGGCCTGGCTCTCCCCTTTAGCTCTGTGAGGGTGAGTGAAGGAAGGAAGGAAGGAAGGAAGGAAGGAAGGAAGGAAGGAAGGAAGGAAGGAAAAGAAAGAAAGAAAGAAAGAAAGAAAGAAAGAAAGAAAGAGAAAGAAAGAAAAAGAAAGAAAGAAAGAAAGAAAGAAAGAAA